TCCCTACCTGGAATAGCTTCAATTGAAGACATGAAGGATTCGACATCTCGTTGCACATCTTTAGACGACGTATCCCATTTTCCATGAAATTACCTTCGGATTTCAGCCGCTATTCGTACAATTGGAGACAATGCGCTGTGCTTGAGTTCTTTTTGCAGCTGTGTTCAGGATCACGACTGAGTAGGCACGACGCATGCTCCACAGTCAGCGCTTGCGCGGAAGATATTGCAACCTTCTCCCTAGCATCGTGTGGAGTAAGTGGGTATGGCATTCGGTTCGAGCTAAACGTGTTCTCGCGTGTGACATCGCAAACTTTTCTCAGGGATCCCTGTTTCTGTAAACAGACTCACGCCATGTATCCCCACCGTCAGACTCAGAAAACTCCATTAGCGTAGAACGAGTGTTTCGGACATCGCGTTGAAAGCAGGACTTTCAAAGTAGAGAATAAGTCACGCATGAGCATGCAGTTGAGGAAGTGGCAGGTGCATCAATTCATTAGATCGTGCTACGTGCCATGTAGACCTTCACCCAACCTGTTGTCCGAACCCTAGACTCCATACTATGCAAGCCATGTTGGTATCTTCAAGTGGTATCGTAGATCTACTCGTCGTCCTCATCGGCCTCGTCGTTGACGACGTTGAAGAAGCGGAGCTCGTAGACGCCCTTGGAGGTGGAAACGACGCGGAGCCAGTCACGGAGCTGCTGCTTCTTGAGGAACTTCTTGGTGCTGTCAAGCTATTAGCCAACATCCTTCCCTCTGAAGCGCCAGGGTTTCAACATACAGGTACTTCAGGTAGCGGCCAGAGAACTCCTGGTGCGCAATGACCTCGATCTTGCCATCGCCCTGCTGGCTGATCTGGATGGTATCACCAAGGTTACCGGTGCGGCCCTCAACCTTGATGCGGTCGTGCAGGAACTTCTCGAAAGCCTGGATGTCGAAGATCTTGTCGTTGACGGGCTGCGAGCAGTTGATGATGAACTTCTTGGTGACCTTTTGGCCCTTCTTGGCGGCAGCGGAGCGCTTCTGTAACTTGAGTACTTAGCCTACTGTTCTTGTGCGCGTGGGGTGCTCCCTTGCGCTGGACAGCAAAGCGGTTGTACGTACGGTGGTGGACATTTTGGCGGTTTGGGGGTGGGAGCGCAAAGAAATGGATATCCTGCGTCTGATTCGGAGGGGTTGGAGAATGAGGGAGTGTCGCGCGGTGCGCCAGAAGTTCGAGCAGTTCAAAATTGCCGGCACGATGGTGGGATGCTAGTCCCAAAGGGGCTAGTGGCGCCGAGTGTTCGAACAGCTCGGTACCTGAGGTCGTCATCATCGTTGTTGATGCATCCCAGCAATTAAACGCTCTGACTACCTAGGTATCTTCATTACATTTCGAGAACTCAATAACCTCCGCGCATGCCTTCTATGAGGGGCTCGACACGGCTGCTACATTCACATCACGAGCCAGCAACCCTCGTCCTTTAATGCGAGCGCGATCACTCGTCTGTACATCTTCCAACAGTCAAATGCGCGTAAGAAACCCATTACACTATTGAACAGACCGTCTGCCAAGACGATTGGTACTATGTTATCACATGTAGCGTTTCTATTCTAGCCCTATTGCCATCTTTCAAGGCCGTTACCCAGGACATTGCATTCCAAGGTTCACTCCGTCACCCCATCTGCATGATACAGCGCTATCGAAGAGACCGAGAGCCCGGGCGGGAATTAACCAGATATCATTAAGCCGTGTTGCCGACGTGCTTGCGCCTACAGATGACAGTCTTCCTCAGTTCCGGCGAAATCGGCTGCGCAGACGCGCAAACAAACCGCTTTCGCGATTGATGTTGCCCTCAGCGTATAGGGTCTCCTCTTGTATAGAGTCGATGAAGTCGCCATCCTCGGCCTCCTGCGCCTCACTCTGGAGCCGTGAAACAGGCTCACGAGCGCGAGCTTGACACATCTCTGCACGGCATTGCGGGCATGCGTTCGCACCGTTCATAGCTGACTCATTGACCCAGCTGTCTAGACAGACTTGATGGAAGTAGTGAGCACACTTCGTAATCACTGGTCGTTCTTCGTTCTTGTTGTCTTCGTGGACATCGACCATACATACGGCGCATGCGACACCCTCAGGAACGCTCTGCACTGGTTTGCAGAAATCCTCGATCGGAATCCGCTCGCCAGTCGGTTGAAGATCGTCATCCATGTCCGAATTAACATCATCGTCAGAATCTCCTAGGTATGTGAAGGGAAGTTCTATGGTGCTGTGCAACATCCCATCCTTGTAACCCCGACTTGCTTCGACAAACTCGCGGAAGCTCATGTTCGAGCGGCACGTAGGTATGTGCGCTTGGCTCATAGCACTTAACACTTGTACTGTCACGGGCTTAAGGAAAGCTGAAACAATCCAAAAGACTTCTCGATTAGTTAGTGGAGGCAAGCTAGATACTTCCCTGAAAGCTCGAGGGCCGGAAAGGCGTCGACCTTCTAGCTTTGCTTCGCAGAACGTGGCGAGTTCTCTAAGATCCAACTCGCGGAGTGCGGGACAATCACGACATCCCATTTCCAAGTAGTTCTCCAAGTCTTTGCAGTAACGCTGGATCTGCTCCGGAGTCGGATGCTGTGTTAGGAAAGCCGTCAGAATGATGGCAGTCCTCTCTAGTGTCGCGAAGAACCAGCCGACGTTTTTTGCCGATACCTGGGACACTACTCCTGGTACCACGATAGCCAGGCTAGGAAAGTATCTGTGGAGTTCATCGAGATCGGCGCGGAATTCTTCTGGAAAGAGTGCGAGGCTTGCGTGCCGTAACCACCTCATTCTGAGTCCGGAGGGGGTGGCTGCGTAGAGAAACAAGCGAATCATACTGAATCTTGTGTGTAGGTTGAGTTAGAGTTCTTCGGGTGTGTTGATGATAATGAGGAAGGGGGAATAATAGAGACTTTTGTCACTTCAAGGTGACGAGTGCAGGTGAACGTAGAGAGCGTTCGTTAAGAACTTGCCGATCAAAGGTCAACGAAGTCGCCGGACTGTATATTAGTGAAAAGTCGCGAAGAAATGATCTAAGCACATGTGCGCACGAAATAGTAGGCACGATACTGCTGCCTCGAGGTTGGTGGCAAAGTGTGGTGAATTAGGTGCCGTGAGAAACTGGCTCTCTGGCCGACTCTGGTACAAGCTTTCATCCAACAGTATACGAGGCATCCCTTGACTTGACCACCGCATTATCCATCCGCAGATATCCCGGTTTTACCAGCTTGTTTCGCAGGTTACATGCTCTCATCTGGGGTTGTTTGCACGTTGTGCGTCGAAAGATTACATCTGGTCACTCTTAATGTGCGCCTTATGATACCTTGATCGCAATATTCTGAAGCAAAAGATCTTCCTTTACCTGAATGTTGAGCAGAGATTATAGATCGCTCTCGCTAGGCGACATATTCAGCCGAGTTGCCTCTGACGCTAGAGTGCATGCGAGCTATAGGTATTCGCAGCTTTCCGCCTTCCTGCTACACGAGGCCTCACGGTAAAATACGGAAGATAGAAGCAATTGCTCACTTCCAAGCTGGCTTTTCGACGTCTTTCTGAAGCAACACCGGGTGTCGGGAAGGACCCCTGGCACGTGTCGAGATCAGCGCGTTCCGAAAAGAGGATAGTGTCTAAACTGTTCCGAGACCCGGTAGCATCATCGCCTGATGCGATGCGATAGGCGGATGTCCTTGCATCGCCTTCTTGACAACGACATCAGGATGGCGGATAACAGATGCCGTTGCATCATATTCGGACCGCATCGCGTATCAGGCGTCCAATGTGACAGCACTGCAAGGCAGACACGAGTGGCTGCCTAACGCGGCGCAGTATTCATATGACAACCCGCCTTAAGATTGCGTCCATCTCATATTTTCCTTCCGTCATCCATCGCATACCTCTACGAAGAATTTCAATCATGCTCTTCTCGCCAGTGATGCGCAATGCCGTTCTCCAGGCAACCGCCATCTGCACCGTCTCGCTACTCTACAGCCATTATGCCGAGGAAAACATATTCAACGAAGTAACGCAGGATGAAACTTTCAAGACACTTCTCAACCTTCTCACCAATGGGACAATGCCCAATGCTACTATTCCTGGTTTAATAGACCAGACTGGCCAATTAGCAATCGATGCCAAAAGCACGGTCAACACCTCCGACGGTGCCTCGTTCTCCTTTGCCCTCCAGCATGGCAACGAAACTAGAACTGGACTCAATGGGACCAATGGCATCAATGGAACTGCAGGTAGTGAGATATCGGAATCTTTCTATCGGCGAAAGTTGCCAAGAGAAGTGATCATCTCACTGGCGCTCGCTATACTGCAGTATTGGTGGCTCATTAGTCTCGAAAGGATCTTGCCTGCTCGACCGAGATATCGAGACGCCCCGACTCAGCAGAAGGAGCAAATTGAGGAGAACGAAGATAGAGAGGAAGAGGTAGTGAAGAAGTGGATCGCACAGGGTAGAGTGCATCGAGCGTCGTTGAACTGGCGCAATACTTTCGTCAAATGGGTGCTCGATATGACAGTTGGCATGCTGTTCATATTCACCGTGGAGCATATGCTTCGGCAGCTTCTCAAGATGAAGTCACCAATGTTGATCTTCAAGAGCTTGGGCGAAGTAAGTTCTTATCTTCATTTTTCGGCATGGCATCTCACTAACGTGCCGACTAGCACCTTATCTTCAACTTCCTGGGCACATTTTTCTCCGTCACTCCGCTTGTTCGCCTTGCTGCCTTCGTTCTCGCTCCAGCCTACAAGCAGATAATCTTTATCGAAGGTATCCAGCTAGTCTGGACGGTCTTCGCCTTGCAATTCTTACGCATAACAGCCTCATGGGCGGTCAAAACGGAGTTTGCCCAGACCTTCATGCAGAATATGACTAAAGAGCACGAGGCAAACATGAAGTATCAAAAGTATAGAACTATTCGGGACAGAGAGCTGTGAGTCTGTAGACTAGCAAAGACTACCATTCAATCGAACTTTCCACCTCTACACTACTGCCAGCTTGGCGTTACGGGAATAATCGTACTCAGTTTCGTCTACCATGTTTCCATCAAAAACGGTCTTTCCTATCTTCCCCGACTTATCTTCATAATCCAACCACATGAGCGCTTCCTTCACCAGGTCTGATGGCCCAGCAACTGTTGGCACATGCCATTGGTCCGCTCCTTGGCTCACAAAGTTTGCATGTGCACTATCCTGTGCCTGAGCGATGATGCGCGCGCAGTCGATGCGTGAGAAGGAATCCCGAGGCGTTGCAGGAAACTTCCCTTTCGATTCAAAGGACTTGGTGAGAGTTGACATCGATGCGCGAGGTGTGACCGGAAGTGACTTGTCTAATGGTAGGTAAGGAAGCCGGCGGTTCACGTACCAGGCTTCCCAGCCCAGTCTTGAGGGCGCTGGCGCTGCTGGTGTCTGAAAGGCTAGTTTTGAAATACGCTTCTTTGGCTTCCTTTTGGGCTTCGCTCTCGAACCTAAAGTCTCGTCACGAGGAACTCTAGGTGTGTTCATTGGTCTCTTTGACGTCCTGGCCGTCAGTCGCTGACTTAACTTCGCAATATACTTAGCGAGCAAATTCAAGAGCTCTGCACATTTCTTACACAGTCTCTCGCCCAGTTTTGGTCTCGGTACTGGGGGGTTGGGTGTCTGCACACGTCCTGACCTGACGTGTTGCTCATAAGTTTCATCACTCAATATTTCAGACAAAGGCACGTCTCTGCGCCTTGTTCGCGTCGTTATACTGGAGGCATTCTCTGATATGGTGTGATATTCGCCGGCTGGGAAGAACTCATGGCGATCACTTCTGAATGACAGCTCTCTAGGTATCGAATTGGTCTGCGTTGTAAATTTGGATACGCGTGTATCGTTGGAGTCAGCATGATGCATGTCCGTGGTGTCGTGCCGTGTCACAGTGGGACTGCGCTGGAAGGGGATTGGGGGTGCGGGCCTAGGGTTGTCCAGCCAAGCTTCAGCCTTGAGTTCCAATACACTGTCGCTATCCTTGATTGACAGGGTATCGCAGGTCGTAAGTGGCCTCTCAAGGATCGGTTTGTGTCTCGACCTTCGCATTTCCAGTAGAAAGGGATTACTAGTCTTTGATGGCGTCAGGCTGTCAGGGCTCTTATGCCGGGTATTGTATGGTGGTTTAGAGAACTCACCTGCACGGACTTCGCGGCGATCTACATTCCTATGTTCCGTCCTTAGGAACTCTTCGGCGGTACAAACATCCCATGACTGGGGCCAGCGATCTTTTCGGAAGTTGCGGTCAACGGGCGAAGGGGGTGAAGTCGTTGTCTTTGTGGAAAGCGTGCTGGAGTTGCGAAACGTGCGAGGCTGATAACCCGAGAATTGAGTTTGGCTAGCTAGATCTTCCCACTCGGATCGCCAGTCCTCGTTTTCCTCGCCTTCATGTTCCAGATCTCTTTCATTACCGGCACCGCCCCTCAAGCCGGAGTCTGTGTGGTCACCAGCGCGGAGGGTTGTTTCATTGCGGATTCCAGGCCAGATGGTGTTTTCCGAAGATCTCCTAGCTCCTATTGGCGGCTTAGAAGTGACGTCTTCAAAAGTAGATGTTGCATTGCTTCTAGCGTAGTCTTCCTCAATGAACATTGCTTGACAATAGTCGCAGTGCTCTCGGTGTTCGTCCAGCTGCATAGCCCAGACTTCGCATTGAGCACCTCTTGTATACTTGTAACTTCTGGAGCGCTTGTCTCTGAACTGAGGATTCAGTCGCTTAGTATGTTGCCAGTCAAAGCGGCTGATGCTATCCTCGTGCCGTTGAACGAACTTGACAGGGAACATAAGGCGGCCCAGTCTTATGCTCAAAGGACTTTTTGCCGTAATGATCGCCTCGTTTGAACTTAAGCTAGGAGTATTTGGTGCCAGCGTACCATAGGATTTTGGAGTGATAGGTGGGATACCTGGTGCAGCAGGCAACTTGGGATTTTGTAGCGGGAACTCTCGGTTGCCGTGTGCATCATGGTTCCAGTACTCAGAATCGCTACCACCGCCACGAACGGATAACAAACATGGTTCCTTTACCTCTTTCATCTCAGAGAAGCTCTCACTATCATTTACAGGATGTACCCGACACGTGCAGGACTTCGGCAAGCTGGCTTCAAGCTCGTCTTCGACTGCGTCATTGAGCGAATTGACCAAATCGCCAACATCTTGATAGTAGTCGTGCTCTTGTTCGCTCGATGCGGTCCTGACCGAGGCACTGGTAGACGACTTCGATGTATTTACATCGATCTCCAGCTTCGTCAGTAGCTTCCCGAGAACGTCCACATCTTCCTCATGCACCTCCCATGTAGCTATCTTTGTTTCGCGATCCAAGTGACAATCACTGGGAACATCGCATATGCTGATAGTGACACGCTCATCGCTGACGTTCTCGGGCAACTCTATACCCATCTCTTCACGGATCTTCATGATCTCCAAGACGCGCGCGATATATGGATCGTCGGCGAGCGATTGTTCCCCGTCATCGATTTCAAGGATGCGACAGATTTCAGGCAGTGTCGACCTGTGAGGAAACTGGTATAGGTGTGGAGAGGCACCAGCAAAGACTATGGTGGATTGTCTCGGATAGAAGTCGAAAGACTTCGCTGTGATAATGGCACACGTACGGGAAGGGTCGGAGAGGAATGCTCGTGGAGTCGTGTCCTTCGTAGATGTCGCTGGTGATGATGGATCTTCGTTTCCGCCTCGCATCGTTCCTAGGCCTGGCGATTCCACACGGATTTCGTCAGTCAAAACCAAGTCTTCTTTATCATCCGTGCATACCGTACGAGATGTAGTACTCTCGATTAAATGCATCAAGCGGGTCTTGAGAACCTCCAGGTCTTCAGCGATTGCGTCCTTTTCTGCCAGTGCGGCCTCAAGCCGCTCTTCCATCTCTACTTGTACATCCATCTGCCAATGTAGATCCTGCATGAGACTCTGGTTTAGCTCCTCGAAGTTCTCGAGTTCCCGTTCGAGAAAGCAGTTGCGTGTTTGTAGTACATTGGCCAAAGTCATCCAAAAATCTCCACGTTGAGAGGTTGGAGGGCCCACACATAATGTCGCGGCCTCTTGCATGAGCTGCTCAAATATGCTGCTAGAATTGTTCGCTGAGCTCTCGTTCGCGGATGATGGGTCGTTTTCGTAGCCACTTCCGCCCCGGATTTGCGCGCCGGCTACTTCTCTTGTGCGATTCGTGAGAAAAAGGTTGTTGTCGTTGACCATATACATATCACCTTCGTCTCCATCAAAGTCCCAGTCCCCATCCGTCAGGACATTCCAGCTTAGTCCCATGGTCTCCCACCAGCTTGCGATCGCACTCTTGAACACCTGCTTTGACTGTATCTTGTGAATCGCGACTTCTTGCCAGTGTCCGTTTCCGCAAGCCTTTTGCTTCCAGGCTTCTCGTTTTACGAAGTCTTCTGTTGCTCCTGTTGGGAAATAGTAGATTGTCGCAGCGCTGTGGAAAACAAGCTCGGGCTTGTTGGTTCCGGGAATGACGAAACCTGGAGGTAGGTATACGAGGATATAGTGGATGGTGGAATCGCCGACCCGAGTTGCGGCTCGCTGACAGAGCAAGTGTGGTGAGGCTGGGATGAGAGTAGGGACGCTGCTGGTATCGATATGCTCGCGACTGCCATTGTGATCAATCTCCTCTTCTCCACTTCCACCACGCAGACTTGGTTCATCTTCTTTCTCCTCTTGGCGGTCTCTCGATCGAGAAAGACTGTCCTGTTGCGCCGTCTCCACAAGCGTACGCACCTGCTCTTTCAAGCGCTCAACCTGCTGTCGCAATTCTCGGATGATCTCTTTATCGCGACCACTACTCTGGCTTCCATTCATACCCTCCTCTTGCGACGAAGCGTCCATCTGATCCCAGTTCGTGTACCCACCATAATCATACACGAATTCCTCGTCTTCGTCTCTCCCACCCATTCCGCCTCTTAATGTCGCATTCATATCTCCAGCATTAAGGTCATCTCCATGCTCACCGCACGTACAGTATGGCCCGTCGTCGTCGTCGTCATCGTCATACTCATCTTGCGCCTCGTAGATAGTACTGAGTATGTCCTCAAAGATCATCTCTTGTCCATGCAAAATTTCAACTAGCAAGTCGTGCCATTGATCTTGCGCATCGTATCGGCTGGTCAAGGCTCTCATTCCAGCCTCGGTTCCTTCCATACGGTCCTGGAGTCGGAGGATAGCCATTTCCGTTTCGATCTGTCGCAATGTATCTGGACAAGCTTGCTGTGAACGTCTTCCTTCCGGGCTAGGCGCATTGCTGCGCTCGAAGTGGCGTGACGGGTCAGAAGCGTCTGTATCAGTCATTAACTCGTGCGGAAGCCTGGCATCCGCTGGTTGCCGACCCACAGGTGCCCGATCGCTCCTTGCATGATTTGCATTCCCTTCATCTTGACCTTCCCGCCACAACCTCGCCATGTCTTCCCAGTCCCCCTCAAAGTAGACTCCAGACGACTCATTGCCGTCTGTCACGCCCATAGCATCCATGACTGCTTGCAGAATGGCATCTAGGCCCTGTAACTCCTCATGTAGATGTTCAAGACGGCTTTCCATTTCCGATATCACCTCGCGCTCAGCATCGTCTCGGCCGTCCAGGCAGTCCTTCAGCGTCGTGTTATTCTCTCGCAACATCGCGTTCTCCTCTCTCAACAACCTGATCTCTTGATCAGCCAAGCCGAGCTCTCCTTCGAGCACCTCAATCTGGGAAAAAGCGAGGGCAAGATCGTGGCTCAGGTTCATGATTTCCGTTTCGACAACACGTGGATGAACAGTAGAGTGCGCTCGGTGGCCTGTAGCGACATGGTCTTCTCGGTCATTGTAGCCGTGCGTGGAACGGACTCGACGGTGATGCTCCGCACCTGCTGTTCTCGATGATCGCGGCATCTTCGTACAGAAGACTTCCAGCAGTAGTCGTATCTTGATTCTCAGAGAAATGTAGGAGGCTTGCTTGGTTGCGGAAGGGCCTGGATTTAGCAGATGATGATATGCGGGAATGCTGATATGGTAATTGTCAAGAGATCAAAATCGATGTCGTGACAATAGAAGGGTACAAGGACAAATTGCGGAAACAGCGTACTTTATGTAAAGGAAAAGAGCTAGAGACGTGACACTTACTTCAAGGAAGAGATTCTGCGTGAAGTTGTGCGGTATGCGTGAAGCGACTCGCAGTATTGAAGCGTCGCCGCCGTGACAGAAAAGCTAAATTTGATGCTCGTATACTAAAAGAAGAGGCAAGGGTGAATGCGCTCAGCACACAGCACGCGCAAAGATCATCATACCGTTCTACACGTAGGAACCAACAGCTAACAAGGGGTATACAACAGCTGCGAATGTCTAATGACGTGGATGAAAGGCGCAAACAGTATTGCGAACGCAAGGGAAGATGATACATTCGCCACGTTGTACCTACAAAACAATGTCTATGAAGCTTGACAACAGAGCCGCGAAGGGCTTAAACCATATCTGGGTATACCGTGCATGATGCCCTTGTAGTAATGCGCCGTACAGAAGAAGAAGAAGTGAAGCGCCAAAAGTCTAAAACGAAACCTAAACTGAACTCCACCTGGCCTTCAGCCGTACAAGGACCGATAATCGCTAATGAACTGAACACGTTGAACCTCAGGCCGTGAAAAGGAAATCATGACTCTAGAAAGATTACAAGATTGTAAAGGGGAGTCGTAGCACCATGAAGTCGGTACCACCACGTGTTGAATGCCAAGCTCCATGTCGCAGGATAGCCGGGCGCCATCATGTCGCTGTGCCGAACGCCCAATGTAAAACACTTTTAGTTACCAACCCGTTCGGAAACACGACCGCGCTCAATCTGCTCCACGCGACCTTTGGAGTCGGTGCGCTTCATGCGAGATCGAGCCAACGCAGCTGCGGCTTCCTCGTGTTCCCTAGCCAAACGTCTAAGGGCGATTTTGGCTTCTTCAAGAGGTATGCTGTCGCTGCGCTTGGGACTGCTCTGTCTTGAAGGGCGTTGGCTAGTCGGGTTTGACGTGGGAGTCGGAGGCTGGTAACGGAAGCTATTGGCCCGAGTGCTAGCAACGCTGAAGCCGTTCTTGGTGCTACCAGGACGGCTAGTGCGATACTCAGTGCTTACTGACTCTTGGCTGCGGTTGTCGGCATCGCGAGCGGGAGAGTTCTTTCGGGACCGAACGTAGTTGGGATCGTCGCGCTTGATCATGTGACGGAATTGCTGTGTTTGCTGATCGAAGACCCAACGTTGATAGCCCGCGGCGCCATTTGCGTTCCCAGGAATGAAGGTGTCGTGTTCGTCCCAGCACTTGACCCAAGCCACGTCGTCGACCCGGAAGAAGCCGGCTTGTACTTCTTTGCCTTTGTCGTTCTTGATCATGACAGTCTTCTTGCGCTTGTTGAACTCGGGCTCTAGGAAATAACGACCAATGGCATGGGAGTATTTCAGGGGAACAGGACGGTCCAGGGGAACGTACACTCTGCCAGTTGATGACTTGATGTATGAACTGGGGTGGCCTTCTGGCTTGGCATCGTCCTTGAGAGTTGCGATCAGAAACCAGCCTCGTCCGGGGATACTCTCGTACTGGCCGGGTACTGGGCTGGTCCACTCTTCAACGACCTTGGATGACTGCTCTGCCTTGTTTGACTTGAACCACTTGTGGGGCGCAAAGGCCTTTTGAGTGGCTATGAAGAGGTTGGGCGCCATGTCGATGGTTTTCGAATAACGTTTGATAAAACTCCTCTGGTCACTGTCGGTGATGTCCTCCGGGGACAGTCGGCAGTGGTGGTGGATCTGAGATTCCGGGGGTGGCAAGTACTCCGGAAAGTTCTTGAAGCAGAGTCTGCCGTCGGGTAAAGCACGTGGTCGTGATCGTCAGTGGCAACGTTGGATGCTGCGAGGTTCCGCTTGAACAGAGGCGAGTTGGTAGACGAGGTATGGAAATCCGGTACTTCAGGAGTGTGTTGTGAAAGTGACTAGCCGAAGACCGCCGGTCACTGCGTGCAGGTGCACGACTGTGTCGCTATGAGGAGCGAGGCAAGCCTTCGACGAGCGTGGTTCACTGAGTGCGCGTGAAAGGAGGAATCTCGAAACAAAGACGCTGGGGTGTCGAAATATTTAAAAGACGGGAGCTAATTTAGTGCTGGGTCTGAAAATCTTTCCCAGGCTGACGGAAGGAAATTGGGATGCGCTTCGACCTACCGTGGGTACAAGTGTGGACCATGTACCGGGGAGCAATAGTCAGACATCTAAGGCCAATGCCAACGTGAGCACCGAGTCCTCGCACGTCGCCCCCGAGCGTATCGGACCCTCAGTAAAACGGGCCTCATCAGAAATTCGTCATGACACACTGCCTCAATCAGCTCTTCTCAGCGGTACACGTTCCCGGTTCTTTCCTGTCGCGCGCCCACGGATCCGCTGATTGTCGTGGTGGCATGCCAGGCTCCGCATTCGTGCCTCCCTCGCAGCAACCCACATGCGTTGATAGAGTGCCGCCCTGGGCCAATCACCTGGGGTGCCAGCCACTCGTGGACAGATAATGCCAGATAACGCGACGCAGCCAGGTCGATTGTCCAGCAGTCGCCTGGGAGTGTGAAATTGCCAGGGCAGGCACAGACGGAGGGCAGCTTCAGAGCGGTGTGATGCTGGGTTGAGGTGTGCGGATGCGAAAGGGACTGAGTGGACCGACAGGCGTTGCTAGATCGTGCGCGGAAGTTCCGTAAGCGCAGCCGGTAGCGAGGCGCTCAACATGTCCGCCGTCGATGGAACCAGCACCAGCACCAGGAACCATGACAAAACAACGGACTCGCAGCCCCGGGTCGCCTGAAGCAACAAAGAGCTCTCTTCTAAGCAGCCTGCATGTTTCGATAATCTGACGCGTGCGTCAAAGCAGAGTAAGCGCCAGCCTGCGCAATTCAACCTTCCTCAGATCGCCTTCCCCGTACTTGCAACATTCGCTCCGATTCTCCAACTTCGTGAAACATTCCATCTCCACACCCATGCCAGACAAGCAAATAGACAGCCAAAACCCTGCCTACAACGCCCTGTGCCACGCGACAAATACCGGCCTTCCTTTGAGCCCACGCGGCGCCTCACTTGCTCCTACGCGGCTGCACCCAGCGTACGTGCGACGGCGCCAAGAAGCAACCATGGCTCTTGCGCTGCCCCTTTGTGACTCGTACGGCTGGTCATACGGCTTTACTATCAGACTCCTTATCAATGTGCGTCGAGTTCACTCATCAATCTGATGGCGGTGAGTAGGTTGAGGAGTGGATATGGCTTGCGGCTGCGCATCTTCCGAGCAGGCGACGCGCTGAGTTGGTGTGCGCATCCGGAAACATGCCCGTCAGCCATGTTGATGCTTAGGCAGCTCAAGCAATTGACCAAAATAACCGGTAGTATTTCATCCAACAGGCATCTGCATAGTGCTAGCATGCAGGTTCGATGTTGCTTGTTGATGACATGAATGCGAAGTCGACGTCAAGGTACACTGGTCGCCGGTAAAAGGCTTCTGCGATAAAAGTCTAGCTGAATATTGCAACCCACTCCAACACCATGCAGTACCATTAGCTGAAAGGAGAACAGCTCGCAAAACTGAGCAACAACCGGCGCGGCATATTTTACCGCAATCTCTAGTCGTGATCTCGATAGCCATGACCTGATCTGTGGCATGTGAAGAAGATCAGCCTGATTGATGCGCATTCGATGCTTGGCGCAGAGTACATGCAGCACCCAAGGCACTCCACGGACGATACCGCAACACACACGTTTGTTCTGCGCGGCCGGCAGTTGGGGTTGCGATATCGAAGCGGCTCTGCAGTTAGTCTAAGATCAAAAAGCATCACATCCTACGTCATCGAGGAGATCCTGATTTGGCTCGTTTTTTCATTGCATTCCTACTGCTCCTGTCCCTTGATATCTTTGGTCATTCCGCAGTAACATGTCGCAATGCTTTTTGAAGTGCATGCCTCTCCCCATACCGTATCGAAGGGTACCGTGAGCCGGAGAGGATGAAAAGCCTTCCCATTGAGATCGTAACTAATCAGAGAGACGCCTTGTATGCCCCGCCCCAAAGTGAAAATCCGCACCCATCTACGACTCGGTCTTGACGCGGGCCTTGCCGTTGGTAACCTTGACACCGATCTGCTTCGCCCTGGCGATGATTTCGATGCGCTTTCGTGCTGATACAGCGTGGGCGATCCTGAAGGATTCATTAGTATGTTGGATGGTGGAACAGAAGCTGGCGAACGTACTCTGCGGCGAAGGTCTGGTTGTGCATGAGGAGGAGGTCAACATCGGCGACTGCATCCGTTAGCGGAATCCTGGGTTGGTGTCGTACTCGATAGGTAGCATACCGTTGTTGACGACGAAGGCCTTGTGGCCGCTGGGCATCATGTGGCGGGTCTTCCTGTTGGAGCCGTATCCGATCTGTGAGGCGTTCCGTCAGCCCTGGTCCATCAAGCATTCCGTGTACGCTCAGTGTCCTCTCGGTGACAAGATTCTTCCTCCGTCCGGGTAGTTGGTAGTCCGTACCTTGGGCATAGCAGCCTGGCCCTTGAACCGCCTGCGGACGCGGTTGTCGATACCCTTAGGCTTGCGCCATGAGGGGTCGACGCCTGTCCAGTGTCAGATGCCAATTCCTTCACTCCCAGCTCCGGTGTCTCTTACACATAAAGCGGTCCGACTGGTGGCGGTTGAAGCGCTTGCGGTCTGTAAACGGATACGTCAGTCGCGAGTTTTCGAGGTCATGGAGGCAGAT